TCCCACAGGCTGTTGTACGCGGAGCTGGCTGAACTCCCCTTACAAAATTACATGGTGAAGCAGATCCTCCGTTTCTGGAACCGCCTTCAAAAGCAAGTGGGATCCATTGCTCATGCAGTTTTACGGCAGGAGATAACCGATGCCCTGACCAACCCGGAATGGGAGGGTTGGGGCAGAGGGGTGCAAAGATTAGGGATTGGGTTCGGGTACCGGTCAGGCAGAAATTAGGATTAGGAACGAGGGGCAGGATTAGGATACAAAGTTGAGGGCAGGTTTAGGATGAGGACCCTAGTGTAGGATTAGGATTGGGACCTCACCCACAGGATTAGGATTGGGACCCGGCCACAGGATTAGGATTAGAACCCCGACCCTAGGATATGGATAAGTACCCCATATCCAGGATTAGGATTAGTACACTGGTGTTGTATTAAGAATAGTGCACTGCAATGATTGGCGATTAGGATACTGCTGTGTAGGAGGACGAGCAAAACCCAGCCCCGCCAGGTACCTTTCCGACTGGGTTAGAAAGTTGTTATGCCATGTCATACCTAGCTATGTGACTAGATCCTGTTTCAAGAGTATAAACCGGATCTGCACAACTGAAATGGTCCAAGTCGTTCCCTCCCCTCCGTTTAAGTGAGAGATTGGCAGAAGGGAAGTTGCTCTTGGTGGATACATGGGTAAACCATAGGGAATAGCAAGACGAGCAAGTAACACCCAGGAAAAGGAAATTACACGTAAATGAGAGTTGGGCGCACTAGGGCACACGTAGGTCCATGGGTCAGGTCATCTATCTACTGTTCTCCCAGCCGAATACAGGAACCAACATAATTAGGTATGAATCCACATAATGCCCACCTTTTCGCCTCTACTTATCCTATATGCCGCTCACGGGACAGGATGGGGGGCATGCTTGATGCTGCCAAGTCAAAACGGAAGGTAGGTTTCATAGGTACGCAGGTTATGAAGGCCCAAAAAACACACACATTGCTTTGTATTCTCAAGACAGTACCTTCCATCATGGCGATGGGCAAACAAAAGCATATCAGCACATGCAACCGGAGTACCCAATGCCTCTTCACAGCCCATCATTCTGGGCAGCCTCTTCACCACCCACCACAGTGGGTGCGCAAGGAGCGGGCATTGTATATGCCCATGCATTCATCCCTGGCACACTCCCAACACGGCTAAAAAGATTTGCGAACTGCTCAGTGGCAGGCCCCATATATACAACTACACTTCCCTGTGGATTCTGTACACGAGTGCCCCATTGAAGCTCCCCAGAGGCACCTGCGGGTAACTGCCTGACAAACGAGATGCGCTCCTGCAGAAAACACACTGGCCACTTCAGCACATCACGAAACCAGCTGTAACCAATCCCTGCCTTCAATAGTACCACGGCTTGCTTCACGTTTCCTGCCTAATACTCACGCACACATCTTGCAAAAAACAGCCCCTGTAGGCTGTGGCCATTCCTCAATCCAAATGCTGGGTTAAGAAACACGTTTCCCTTCCACGCATTCATCTCTGCCAGCCCGTCCATGCACTCATCATAAAAGGAAATTGCACGGACACGTGTGTTTGCAGCGGCACAGGAACACGGGTCCAGATCGATGTCCCCTGGGGTGAACAGCTTGCACACAAGATCCAAAATGAAATCGGGCGTGTACCACTCACACGATTCACTTCTAGTGAATACACGCAAACCACCGTCGTGTGCTGGTGATGCACTTTCTTGGCCCCCAGCTGGATCTGGGGCTGCAATGGGATCTGTCGTACACCAGCAACAAGCTTGGGCAGCCAGCTGAAATGGCCTGCACCGCTGCGAGCAAGGAGGCGCAGGGCCTGCATCCGACTTGCATGACCTTGGCTCCTGAGGTGTGTCCTAATATTCGCAAGCTGGCTGCTTCCGCTGGCCACCGGCATCCAGCCACCAAGCCCCGTGAAAAATTCGTGGTCTGCCACATCGGAGCTTGGCTCAGGGCCATTGACACATGCCGCTGGCAGGGGCTGCAGGGGTGACAGTTCCTGCCCACGGCTGGTCTCCCCCTCAGGGGAGCCACGCTTTCCAGTAGCGCTCCCAATACCACTGCTACCGCTCACACGAGCGC